AAAGGGCAAAGATGCCCCACATAAGGGGTGTGGGTGAGGGCTGTGCTGTATCTCGGGAGTGCTTGACCCGATCGACACGCGGAGGTGCTCAAACGAAAGCTAACGGAAAGCTGAAGATTTCAAAAAAAAAATTGGGGGGCTCCGCGCATTGTGCGCCGAGGGACGTGCATTTGAAAAAAGTGTTCGTTAAAGGGGGGGTGTTCGTTAATACCCTGGTTTACTCTACGGATGTATCTTCCGCAGGATGAAATAACCGGCGACATTATTAGTTCCCGATGGACTGACAGGTTCGAGGTACATAAAATGAGCGAAGTTCTTCCTGATGGGCTCGCTGGAGATGAGGAGGTATCGTCTCCTCTGTAGTTGCCGTACATTTCGCATCTGTCCCTTCCAGATGGGCTAACGGGCTCGTCTTGTGTAAAGCCTGCATCCCCTGTGCAGCTGTCGTATACTTCGCCTCTGCGGCTTCCAGATGGGCTGGCGGGCTCGTCTCGCTCAAGCCTTGTGTAGGTCTCCGATGTTGCAGACGGGCTTGCTGGAGATAGACTATGCATCTTCGGTTAGCGATGACCACGCGATGCACAAGGACTTCTTTACGAACAGCACCATGTGTATTGACGTTGAATGCCACGGCGGATCGAACAGACAGAGGCGATGAAGATGTGGCGCCGCCGTTCATGCAATCGTATTTGGTCCAGCGCCCCCTTCACTTCATCTGTGAAACGAAGTGGTTGCGCTGCAACAATCGCCCAACGGCGACATGATACGAAACACCGACAAGGGAATATTCCGTTCCAAACTTTAGAGACTCCGACAACGTTGGAGATACTCCTTGGCCTCCTCGTAAAGCTTCGGCAGACCTGAAGAAGAGTCTGTCTAGGGCGTTGTGTTGAGTGCACTGAGCCAAGGTCCAGTCAGTGGTAAAATCGTCATCTCGACCTTATTTGTACATTGCGCGGGCAATGGGCTTGTCCGAGGAGGGATAGTCTAGGTCCGAAGCTTGCCCTGATTCGAAGAAATCTAATATCTTTCGGCCGATGGACGCGGCGTGGCCGTTTTGTTATGGTGACGACCGTCGCATCTCGAAGGGCGGCGGTCTGGTCTGGGGTAGTGTGACTCTGGTTGTGATCATGCACGAGGCAGTTCACCTGGTACGTCCAGTTAAGTCCAAACACGCACCTGGTCGCAAGCACTAGACGTCGTTGCTCGTTGACATTGTTGGTCCATGGGCTAGGAATGTTTCCGGGCAGCGTCTGTGAATCGCTTCGAACACGGACGCCACAGCACCCATTTGAGCGCCCCGGCCGGGCAAGCTTGTGTGCGGAAAGATCACGTCACGTGCTTGATCGGCCTGATCCTGCGAATAGAAGTTTAATTGGCATGGAATTAGGAAAACTGTCGGCAAAAACGTGCCATGCGCGTCGAACGAAAGAATATAATATATATATATCCATAGTAGTCGAGACTCACCAGTGTATCCTGTTGTAGAGATTCTCCGTTGAACATGGTATCCTGGATGAGTTTGATGGCGGGAAAGAATGCCGCGCCTGCAGGTGTGCAGTCACGTCCATCTGGTGGCGATAGGCCGTCAAATGCGGCTAGGGTGAGGGCCATTGCTGAATTCAAAAAGTAGTTGTTGTTCTTGTTGGCGATCAGGCGAGCTATTGATGGGGTAGATGCAGGTAGATGCCGTCCAGGTCGCGACCCTCCTCTTGTTCGCCCCGTTGAGGTGTTATCCTCGCCGTCGATAGCATCGCCGTCCGATGACAGCGAAGCCGATGTCAGCGTAAATGTCGAACGGTCTGAGTTGAATGCGGAAGTAGTGTCGTTTCTTCCAGGCGCTGAAGGAACTCTATCAACGCAACAATGTCTTGTTTCGCGGTCGACTGAGGTCGTCGAGGGTGACCGGGATGAGAAAGTAGAGATGTCGTTTCTTCCAGGCGATGAAGGAACTCTATCAACGCAACAACGTCTTTATTTCGCGGTCGACTGAGGTCTTCGAGGGTGACCGGGAAGAGAAGGTAGAGGTCTTCTAGATACGTCGCCCGCGAAAGCGCCAAGTAGGACGAGGCCGGATCAACGAGAGGCTGAGGAGGCTTTTGAAGGTCGAGAATTATGCGCCGGAGGGAAACGCAGTGCGAAAGAATCGGGTGGTACAAACATGAGGAAGCAATGTAATCAGAACCCAATGCCCTCGTTGCAATAGTGGAAATTGAAACCCAGCATCAATATCTGTACATTAACGTTTTCTTGCATTGAAGCTTGGCCCTGGCTTCTGTAGACGGACGACAGGCAGCCTGCTGTCAGCGGCACTTGCTTCCTGCTAAACGTGAATTTCCGCTTGGTCTTCGTGATGACGATGCTGAAGTTCCGTTCGACGGGACCAACCGATGTAACACCACGGCAAAGGTCCGGAAGTTTCAGGCCGGCGTCGTAGGCGGTCTGAATGTACACGAAGACCCTGAGTGACGGATACTTCAGGCGGACAACGTTGTACTCGTATGCTGTTGTTGTAGGTACTCTTCACGTTGAGTGATTTCGATGCCCCGAATGATTCCGTCGCTATTGTTGCACACTCCGAGAATGACAAATTGTGGCTGTTTGTGGAGTACAACAGGTGCGCCGATGGCAAGACAAGCTAACGTTGGAAGGTCGTTGGTCTTGGCGTCGTCGAGAGAACTGATCTCGTCTCGCAATCCTGCAGGCCATCTCGCGTTCAGGGGAGGAACCTGATATTTCGAGCAACCAAACTTGGCATAAGAAAAGATGAAACAATCTTTGACGTAAAACGGTATGAGCGCGACCTGCAATACAACAGGAATAAAGGTAGCGTTCCTTCTTTGGTGCACCGGGACGTTCGTCACCGACGAAGCTGTCCATCGCTGGCGCGATGAAAAGCGGGGTGATGTTAGCTTTACACCAGGTCCGCATCATCGGCACGGTGAGGACAGTGTTAACCTGCATCGTTGGTAGTCGGACGAATAGATTAGATACATATATGTATCGTTATGGGGTTAGCAGACAAAAGAACAGATAAAAAGCTGTCAGTGAAAAAATATGTTACTACAAATACCTCATCGTAATTACACGTCCGTCGTAGCAGTCAAAGGCGTGCAACCCGGGCGATCCGTTCAACACCCTTGTGTCGAAGAGTCTGATGTCGTTGTAAGTAGGCGATGACAACAAGAGTCGGTCCATTAGCGGCGCGTACGTAGGGCTGAAACGATTACTTCCTTGGTCGAGGACGACGCAAGCGTTTACCATGCGGAAGAGGTCCGCTCCGTATTTGACCAAGGATGACATATTTTTCTCTTTTTCGAGCTGCCAGCTCCAGTAGCAAGTGAAGTTGCTTGCACAGGGCTGTCCAAGCATGGAAAACATGTGCGAGGTGGTTTGTTGATGAAGATATTCTTTTGGCGTGCGTTTTCGTTGAGTTCTTCACGAAAGTACATTCTTATAAGTTAACACTGGTAAAAGGACGCCTACCAAGCCCGAACGTTGCTGCTCACCTTAGTTGGTTAAAACCTCCACAGAGCACAAGGGGAAGATTCCCGAAAGGCTGAAGATTCCCGAAAGGCTTGTCCTTGTGCATGGGGAACATGGAACAGGCTGCTTTGTTGAGGGCGACCAAGAGCTCACAACCGACCATGCTGACTTCCTCGACTGCAAGCATATTGACACCTTTCCAATGGATGGCCTGGGTGTCCTTCATCGGGCTTTGGTCATCGTGGTTTCTGGAAAGGCTACCCCGGAACGTTTTCCTTCCTACTTGACAAACCGAATGGATGGTTGTACCGCCTACGGCAGCTGCTTGTTGTCCTCGGAAGGCCACGGCGAGCATACGACTGTCCTCGATTTGTCCAACAAGAGCTGGGCATTCAATGAAGGCCTTCATTGCTTTAAGCACGTGGCTTTTGCCGGATTTAGCTCCGCCGCCTATGTACAGTCTCAACGAGTCGGATCCAGGGGAAACCTTCTTGGCAAGCATGCCGTTTGAGAAAACGAAGAAAGCCAATCTTTGCTTGCGGTTTAGTCCGAACTCTTTCAGCTATTCTCGTAGCGACTGGGTGTTGAGAAGCAGTTGCATCTCCGATGTCCGTGCGCGCCACTTCGTTGTTGGTCTGGTCGCGGCGGGTGTTGGCCGGAAGAATGTCTGGCGGCGAAAAACCTGCTTGTGATGCTGATCGAAGTTCAAGGAGGTATGGATCCAACACCTTCGGGTCGTACTCATGCGAATCGGTAGTTGTCGGCGTATCGGTTGATGTCGAGGTCGATTCTGCGAGAGACGCCACTTCAGATTCAGTCATTGCTTCGAGACATTTTTCCTGTTGTGCCATGTACGTGGGATCTGATGATCCGGACCAACTGGTGATCTTTGTCAAGTCTGTCTCCACGTCTTCTGTTGATCTCCCACTCCTTGGATGCCACGACCGAACCGGCAAGCTATCGTCACCGCTGAATCCAGACTCCAAGTTTTATCGTACGCGGTGTCGACGACAATCTTCGTACGAAGACCAATCGCTGTTTCGGGAATAACAGAAGCGCTGTCGTTGTCGTCGTCACCGTATTCGATCAAAAATATGTCGTTTTCTGCGCCATGCCCAGCATCGTCCAATGAGTGCGACATGGGAGCGTCATTCTCCTTGTTCGCTCTCTCTTAGTCGGCTGCGATCCTCTGTCGAAGCATGCCCGCTGTGTTGAGACGGAATGGCTTAGTACGTTTGTCCCACGAATCGGAGTCCTCAACACGCTGCATAGCGCTTTCCCACGATTCGTCAGAGTTTTTGAGGTTACTCAGATCGAAAAAGGGCAAGAACATGCACAGCAGTAGCCGACAGTGGTCCTCTTGCTGAGTGTCCGCACGCGGGATGTCCCGCATAATGTTTACCATGACTGCTTTCCGGCGTACCACCTATATCATTTAATAAGAGGAAGGTGTTGCGTCGACGAGCATCGATCAAGTTGTGGAACGCGGGCAAATTTGTTGGAACTACGGTTGCGCATGAACAAACGACAGAAACTCCTACGTGTGGGAGAATGGAGAAAATTTCCATGTTAGAAGCAACACTTAAATCGCAAAACAGCAGTTACCTGGATCCATTTCTTCCGGTATTTACCGACGCAGTCATAGGGGTCCGACGAGGCGCGACCTCGTCTTTGCGGAGTGTGCTGAGGCTCGTCCATGTCGTCGTCACTTGAGTCGTTATCGGTATCACTGCGGTTGACACAATTCGAAGCACCCGGTGTATAGCGTTCAACACGCACAGGTCTGTGCCAGACGACGTATGACACACAGTGGAGGGGGTGTTCGGTGTCCGTACGGTCGCACCGGTTTCTGTAGCGCAGGTGAGAACGTTGCTTTGCTGTCAACTTTCCACCAACTGCCGATACGATCACATCATGTTCGAATCTTCATCAGTAGGATGACTGGCGTCCGCTTGGTTATCCGCTTGGTTATCATTGTCAGCGTCGCCGTCGTTTCCTGACGTATCTCTAGATACACATGCAATCAACGATCCCATTGGACATGGCGAAGTGTAGAGGGAGATTTTGGCGTCGGAGAGGTCAAAGACCTTGCTTGCCGCGGCTGGCCCGCCGAAGCTTAGGCTTGCCAGTTGCTTGCAAAGACAGGATCTGACAAGACGCACTACCATTTCTTTGGAGGTTTCACCCTGGCTCTCGTTCCTTATCCGTTCGACGACGGGCAAGAGAAGGGGCAGCAGCACGTCCAAGGTCTACGCTGTCTTGGTGGCGTAGTTGAGAATGTAGAACATGATTCCTTTGGCGTCAATATCCTCGAGCAGAACCTTCAAATCCATGTTTGAACGGATCACAAACTGAATGAATGGATTGTATGGGTTGATGTGGGCGCCAAGACGACGAAGAACGGCGGTGAATCGATCCGCTTTTGGGTTGGAGTTACAGTTGTCGCCATCGTCAAGCTCGGAAATACTGGCGTCGAAAGCGGCCTGGAAAGCGGCAGCCGCAGCAATACCGGAAGAAGTTGATGGATCCCCTGGCGGATAAACGACTCCATTGATTGTCATGTTGCCGTTGGTGTGAAATGTACACGGTCCGCGCAGTACAGCAGTCTCTTGTTCGAAGGCTTTGCCGTCCTTCCCATACCCAAACCTGGAGCACAAGACCAAAGCAGATAATGTACACACGGTCGAGTTTTTGAGGGAAAGCGCAGCATATTTAGTTCGGTGAAGGCTAGACCAAGAAAAACATGTCGCAAGACAACGAAATCGGCGCAAACATCATTCACAGAAATAAAACTTGTCCTCACCTACACGAATCCCTGTGATTGAATTTGTTGCAGGCGAGTTGGCACTTGTGCAAGCTCACTGCAGGGGTGATCTCTGCCAGGTCGAGATAAACGAGGCGGGAGAAGGCCTCGTCGTGGACGCGGCAGCGGTCGACACCATCACGCGGGAAACAGGCTGTTGGTGGAGGTCGGGCGATTCGTTCCTTAGCGGCAACATGTTGTGGATCGGGCCCGGCTTCCGAGGTACCGGTGTCTTCGGAAGCACGGGACATATGCTCATATTCATGTCCGTCAAAGGCGAGATTAGTATCCGTCAACGTGGCCACCTGGTTGAAGATTACTTGTTCCAGAAAACGAGCGAGCTTGTTGTATTTCTCGGGGCTTTTGTCCATTAGCTCGCGAAAGATGGAGAAATCGTTGTACCCGTACACCCAAACCAGAAGGTGACAGTGAAGCATGAGACGCCGCTGCTCTTCTGTCATGCCGACGCACGCCTTGACACGGCCCAATACTCCACCATCACCGTCAGTAGCGCCGAATCGGAGCCAGCAAGTCAATACCGCCTTGGTCACCGAGTGGTAGAAAAAAGCTGATGTCACATGGTCACAAGCAACGAGACGGAGGCGCTCTACGTAATCAGGGAAGTCTGATTTCAATCGACTCGTGACATCGATAGTGACACCAGCCAGCTGCAATACAATGGGGCTGTTGGTGTCTGCAGGGCTGAACGTCATCCACCACAGGGGCTGCCCCATCTGCATTATGAAAGAATCGCTATCATTCTGGTTTATCTCTTGTTGAAGATGGTCCACTCAGCTCATGCATGCACCGATTCCATGGATGTTAACAGTGCGCGAACGGCGGGGCGGGCGGACAGAACTGACCACGAACCAGTACCCTGCTCTAATTCCTTGGCTGCAGCAGGTATGTCTTCTGGGGAAATGCTGGCAAGTGTTTCCGCGGCATCGGAAGGCATCCCGCCCTTGATCTTCCAACGAGCGTTGTTAGTGGCTTCCCTCCGGAATGTAAGGGCGCACACACAAAACCAGAACGTTTTGTCCTTGCTAAAACGCCCATCACGTCGTCGCAGAAAGATTTGAGCCCACTCCTTGCAGCTGACAGGTCTTCGCCGCACGTCTAAGTGACCTCCAATGCCGTGAGAGAACAGATTGAAGTACGCCACAACGAACAAGCCCTCATCATAGAAGTCTGACACCATGTTACCAGTGTGAGTGACGACCATTGCATTTGGCGGGAGAAATGGAGGGGCTCTTCTCGCGGCAGCGGCCGATTTGGCATTTGCTTGTTCCCTCATTGAAGCACCGGTCGCAACGTTTGTTGTGCGTGATGGTGCTGACTTCTTCATCATAGATTGCAACGCTCGAAGTCGGGTGCTCCTGTACTCCCTCGAGTTGGCCATATCTTCCCCGGTCGGCAGAACGACATTTGTTTCTATGATAAAAGAGGCAGGGGCGCCTTCGTCGGTACTGCTGTCAGTATTGCCATTGTTTCCATATTTGGCGGAGGTCGAAGAGTCACCGCCAGGTTCCTCCGGCTCGCGGTTCCCTTGTGCGTGTGTCGAGCGGGCGTTTGCGACCGTGTTGTTTTTTTCGGTGACGGGAACAAGTGCATCTTGAATCTCCTTTGGGATAAACCCGTCTTCCGCATATGTGCGAGGGTTTTCATCTGAAGTTTGTGCCTGACGGGCTAACTAGTGAATTCCCGCCAATCAATGTGTTGTTGCTGTCCTGTGGAAACTCGAGCGGGTGCTCTTACCATCGATCGCCGAGCGCCGAATAAAGGCCTCAGCTGTTCAGGTTTTTGTTTGCTACCAAACAGAGCGCACGTGAAGGCACCGGCAACGTCTGTCGCGCAAGCGGGAAGATGTTTCCCTACAGCATACAAGTTCTGCATGTAGAACGTGAACGTTCCGCGCATGAGGCTCTTCGCCGAACCGGAGATGCCATGAATCTTGAACTCTTCCAAGGCAATAGCAGTACCGCTCATTCTCACGGGGTTTGCCGCTATCATTTCAACCCAATTGGCACTGCGAAATTCCTCAGGAAAGTCCCCTAGCATAAAACCATAATATTTTCGCTGCCTTCCCATTTTGTTTTTGCGCATGTCCTTGAGGCAAGTTGAGCACACGCGTAGCCTGTGAGGCTCGCCTGCCTCAAAGTCTTCCAGAGCCAAGACGAGGCCGTCGAGTACTTTCGCTTTGTCACCAGGGTAGTTAATAAAAGAAGGCTTGAACATCGCACATTCGGTGAGGATTTTGTTGGGTGTAAGCAAGTCCTTGTTCTGTAACTCCTCCGCCTTTACCCACACACAGTCGGTCTTTGTGCAAAACAGATCGTAAACGGCGCGAGAAACACTGCGGGTAATACAAAAACAGACAAGAAACGGATATAAAACCAACGTCAAAACTCTTCGAAATATACTAAACTGGCGTTCACTGCAAAGAATAGTCTAGAGTTCAACGTAACTCAAAGGTTCACCGAAGTCGCGTAAAAGAGAATAATGAAGTGTGTGGGAACGCTGAAGTATGAAAAAAACCCTGGATGACATGCTCTTCATCGAATATCGATTTTCCTTTTTTATTGTGCGAAGTCGATGCTGTGGTGAATTTAAGGTTCTTGGGATGGAGACGTTCGTTAACTTGAGTGTTTGTCTGGAGTCAAGTCACAACAATTGTATTGTCGAGAAAGGATGGAGACGTTCGTTCACCTGAGTGACGAGTCCACGATGTGCGCGACGAGCACCTTTGTGCAATACGGAGGGTGTAGAACACCGTCGACGAGGTACAAAGGTCGATCGATTCCGTCTAGGAGACCCTCACGGTGGTCGCATGCCGACACAGGGCGCTCCTTGATGATGGGGACGAACGGCACTGGACCTCGAGCAACCCTGAGTACAAAAAAATTGATGCAATGCACGAACCTCTTATGATGATGGTTCGCGCGAGATTCACCGTGAGTCAAGCAAACAGAAGATTGAGTTGGAGTAGCTATACGGGAAACAGCTGGTTGAGTTGATCACAGCATTTTCCCATCATGGACTTCAATAACATGTTATTCTGGACCAGATGAGTAACCGAGTGGAACGATGGTCGGCGCGAACACTAATAGCGTAACCGTAGGTAATAGAAAGATGCAATCACCTTTCACGAGCGGCAGCAGATCTTCGGTCGACATTTCGCTGATTGTTGGCTTCATCTCGGTCGGCGCGAACTTCAGCGTCACTGCAGGAAACAGATCATGTTTCGATGAGCTGCTAATGCACAACGTGATGTATTGCTTACCGCCACTGGAGGAAATAGAACATGTTTGTATGAGCAATAATCACGGCACACAGGATGATGGATTTTATTTGTTACCTTTTACCAGCGACAGCAGATGTTCGGAGGTCGTTTCGCTGTTTGTTTGCCTTCTCTCGGTCGGCGCGAACTTCAGCGTGACTGCAGGAAACAGATAATATTTCGATTAGTAAAACAATGACTGACGTCGAGACACAGGAGGACGAGGACAACTGCTATTGCACAACGTGATATTTTTTTCAGCGTTCCTCCAAAAATAGATCATGTTTGGATGAGCAGAACAATAACGACGGGACACAGGATGATGGGAACAACAGCTGCTATTGCACAATGTTCAACGATCACGACGGGTAAGATGCTATTACCTTTTACCAGCGGCAGCAGATGTTCGGAGGTCGTTTCGCTGTTTGTTCGCCTTATCTCGGTCGGCGCGAACTTCAGCGTCAATACGGCAGCGGCAGCGACAGCGACAGCGAGACGGAGCTCCCTGCGCTCCGCGGGCCGCCCGGCGGCTCGCCCGCTTCGACAAGTCGGCGGAACTCACCAGCTGCCGCAACAGGGAGAACCCTCGCCGAAACCCGACGTCCGAGTCGCCCCCGTCGCCGACCAGTGCCGAAGCCCTGCTCGCCTCGGTGGCGAGCCTGCCCGTCAGCAGCACGGAGGAGTGTACCAGCTGGATGCTCTCGGCGGTACTTTACGTGGCGGAAGGGCTAGATGCGAGGGCGGTGCGAGAGTTGCCCTTCGAGCACGCGGAGGAGGTCCACGCTGCGCGACAAGAGGCGGAGAACTTCCTCCTGGGTGCGGTGAACCTCATGCTCAACTCGCCAGATGCCTTCGAGACGGCTCTGGTGTCCCACGAGCTAAGTGAATCCCCCATAGGCACGCGTCCGAGTGAAGTGGAACCCCCCCTCATGACCGTAGCCGGCGTTGTCATGTCTGCGTAAAGAGAGGGGTGGGAACAGGCCATGAGGGAAGAGTTTGAAGGGCACTTAGGCACGGGGACGTTTTCTTTCGTAGACGGCCCGCCCGAGGGGCGCAGGTCCCTGAGCTCAAAGCGGTGTTCTAGTTGGAAGACCAACAAGGAAGGAAAGATAGAAAAGTTCAAAGCGCGTCTGGTTGCCAGGGGGTTTTCGCACATCCCGAACGTCGATTATGTCCATTCGTCTTCCCCTTGCCCATCATCCGCATCCATTTAACTGATGCTTGCGGTAGCAAACGAGAAGGGCATGAACCTCAATCACTGGGATGTGAAGCAGGCGTATACACACGCTACGCTAGACGAGGAGGTTTTTCTGAAGCTCCCCGCTGGGTGCGGGGACAAGTCGCATAAGATTGCTAAGGCTGAGCGTGCGATTTATGGTCTGAAGCAGAGCGGTAGGCAGTGGGGGTACCACGCTGCTGATACGCTAGTCGAGAACGGGTTCGAGCAATGCAAGGCGGACCCGTGTGTTTTCCGCAAGATGGTAGACGAAGTCGTGGTGATGNAAAATCGCATAATATTGTTAAGGCTGGGCGTGCGATTTACGGTCTGAAGCAGAGCGGTAGGCAGTGGGGGTACCACGCTGCTGATACGCTAGTCGAGAACGGGTTCGAGCAATGCAAGGCGGACCCGTGTGTTTTCCGCAAGATGGTAGACGAAGTCGTGGTGATGATTATCGTGATTTATGTGGATGNGGCTCCCCGCTGGGTGCGGGGGAAAATCGCATAATATTGTTAAGGCTGGGCGTGCGATTTACGGTCTGAAGCAGAGCGGTAGGCAGTGGGGGTACCACGCTGCTGATACGCTACTCGAGAACGGGTTCGAACAGTGCAAGGCGGACCCGTGTGTTTTCCGCAAGATGGTAGACGAAGTCGCGGTGATAATTATCGTGATCTACGCGGATGACATTTTGGTGGCTGGCTCTGACGAGGATCGCAAGGAGTTGCTTCTCTCAACAAGAAATTTCCCACCAAAAACCTTGGAGAGTGCGAATGGTTTGACGGGTGCGCCATGGAGAGAGATGTAGAGGCTGGCACTCTCAGAATCTCACAAACCGCGTACATCGACAGCATGGTGAAACGCTTTGATGTGCAATCGACCTCCCACATCCCCGCTTCCCTTGGTGCCGACATGAGACCGAAGCGAGATGACGAGGGGGGAGGGGCGTGACCGGTGCGAAAGGCCATCGGCAGCATGATGTGGGTGTCGACGTTCTCGCGTTCAGACTTCTCGTTCGCCGTGCGTGCGGTAGCGCGCCACGCCCACGCCCCGGCGAAGCGGCACTGGGAT